CCCGAGGACCAGCTAGGACAAGTCTGGATAATATATCTTGCATGGGCCACTGTCACATGCTGTCCTCAGGAGAAGGTCTGACTACAGCAGGCCCAGCCTGAGAAGTGACATGCCCTGAGTTCTATCTGACTGGCCCTGCTTTCCCTCTCAGGGACTGGACATTTCCACTCAGTCAAACCTCTGGGACTGAACTTTTCCTGGCTCCTGAGTCCCTTTCCTGGGTGAATGTTCCCCGGGGTCTGTCCATGCTGAAGGTCTGCCACACTGGCCCAAGACAGAAGAGGCTTCGTACTGCAACTCCTCAACTTCCCTTACTCAGCCCTCCAAACAGATAACTAAGAGAGAAGGGAGGTTCTCTGATTCTCTGTGGATGCAGTGTCCCTTCTTACACTGTTTGCCTAAAGGTATGACTTCTCCTGCACCACAAAAGTAATTATTCCCTTTTCCAGGGCCATTGTCCATCAGGACCTTAGGAAGACACAGCTACCCAGGTTCAAATCTGGTGAGTATCCCTTGAGGCCTGCTGTAGATGAGGCCCCAAGGAATTCCAATGTCCTCCCAAATACTCACTCTGCTAGGGACTTGAGTCTTTCCTGGAACAGCAAGGACCCCTGTCATAAACATCACTGAGGACCAACAGCATGCTACTCCATCTTCCTGTGGAAACAGAGCCTCCTCAACCTCCCCTTCTCACTCACCTCTGACACATTCAGAATGTCTCCACCCGGTACATACTCCATAACCACGAATGCTCTCAGACGCGAGCACCCTGACCTTCCTGCAAGAGGGACCACTCAGCTCACATCCTCTCTGCTTGCAGGGAGTGGGGGCTCAGACATCTTTGCCTGGTAGATCTATGCCCTCCCCCATCTCACAGGACGCTAGCTGTGCAAGCTCAGGGAAGAGTGTGTCACCTGACTGACCTCCTCAGGTCAGGAGAAGGCAAATATGGCCCAGTGCGGAACTAGGCCTTTCATAAGTGGCAGAACAGCCCCCATCCAGTCATGCATCAACTGTGTGTCCCTCATGTGTCTGAGGAACCCTTGATGCAAGGAGAATAGTGGGAGAAAAAGTGACAGCTGAGTGCTCGACCATGAACAGAACTTCCATATAACCCACTCCCTGGCTCCGGGAACATGTGGGACAGGAGAGATGAAATCATGTGAGGACTGGGGATGGGGGGGAGTGAGGTTAACGGCTGTCTCTTGCACCTGATATGACCATAAAGTCATGAAAACACACAGCACAAGACCCGTGTGAGACCCGCCCATCAACAGCACGCCATGGGCCAGACAGGGGCTCCAGAGGACACACCCCTTCCTCAGAACCCATGGGCAATTGATGGCCACCAAGGGATGGGAAGTCATTTTCTTTAGTGCCTCATCGCCTAAACTACAGTCACTAACCACCCGACCATCCACGCTCACGTAAGAAACCCTAATTAAACATAGCGTGGAACACACAGAAAAAGAGGCCAAGAGAGACGGCTCACCTAGTGATTGCGCTTGCCGCACAAGTCAGACACCTTGAGATTAATCGCCATAATCCATATAAAGATGGAAGGAGAGAACCAACTCCTGAAAGTTTCCATCTGAGCGTTGCACACTGCGGTGCACACCCACACACACATACACACATACACACACACCCCACACACACACCTCCCACACACACACACCACACACACACATACACACACACCTCCCCCACACACACACCACACACACACATACACACACACCTCCCCCACACACACACCACACACACACATGCACACACCCACACACCCACCACACACCCACACACCCACCACACACACACACCCACACCCACACACACCACACACACACACACACACCACACACATACACATGCACACACCCACACACCCACCACGCACACCACACACACACACACACACATACACATCACACACACACCTCCCCCCCCCACACACACACAGAGTAATGACTTACATATGCATTAGGCATTAGCAGGGGAGCATTTTAGGAAGAAGGGTTCAGCAGGGTGGGAGGTGATGAGAGAGTAATGGGACTGGATATGACCAAACTACATTTACTCCTGTGTGCAACCCGTATGTGTATGCAACTGTCACATAATGAATTTTAAATGTTTTGTAAAGTAAGTGGCTCCGATTCTCTTCACTCTTTGAAGAAAATGAAAACTACACACAACGCAAAATTGCCTCCACTGACACTTCCTTTAAAACACCTGAAAAGAAAAAAAAAAAAAAAAAAAAAAAAAAGAACAGAGAACTGGTCTACCTCCCAAAGGCTCTCTGAGAAGCAAAAGGACACAAAAAATATTCTAAAGATTTTCAAATGTGAAAAAAATCATTTACTTTTAAATTCTAGTAGAATTTATTATAAAAATGTAAAGTTGGTTTTGTGAATGAGTATTAACATTCATGCTTCAGTCAAATTTACTTAGTCGATGTACAGAATAATTTTTCATCCACATGACACATGAGAAAATGCCTCCATGACATCGGGCCTGAAATGCATCTTCTTAACTAGTGATAAATGGGGGAGGACCAAGGCCACTGTGGGTGGGACACCCCTGGGCTCATAGTCCTGGGTTCTATAAGAAAGCTGGTGGAGCAAGCCATAATGAGCAAGCCAGTGAGCCACACCCCCTACCCCCACCCCCCATGGCCTCTGCATCAGCCCCTGCCTCCTGGTGCCTGCCATTTGAGTTCCTGCCCTGACTTCCTTCAATGATCAATGTGATGTGGACGTGTAAGATAAATAAACACTTTCCTCCCCAAGGTCCTTTTGATTATGGTGTTTCAACACAGCAATAGTATCCCTCAGAGAGTAAGTTTATGAATTAAAACTACAAACTGAAACAACAACATAAAGAATAGAAAAAAAAAAGTGTTTGTAAGTCATATATATGATAATGGAGTTTGTGTTCAGAGTAACAGAGAAAAAAGTGATCCCTAGTTATCAGGGAAATGTAAATTAAAACTACTGTGAGATACCAGCTCATCCCAGGTAGAATGGAAGTAATCAAAATAACTGACAACAAATGATGCAGAGGATGTGGAGAAGAGTAACACTTACTCACTGCTGCTGGGCAGGCAAAGAAATACAGTCACCAAGTAAAGCTTGTGGAAGTCCCTCAAAACACTAGAAAAGTCACATGACTCAGCTGTTTCACTGGGCATATACCTAGAGGTCCTGCACCCTACCATAGAAATATTTGTACCCTCATGATCACTGCTCCTCTACTCAATATAGCAAGGAGATGGACACAATCCAAATGTCCATCAACAGATGAATGCATAACACAAGTCTAGTGCATATGCCAAATGAAATATTATTCATCTCTAGAGAAAAATGAATTCACAACATTTACTCAATGGCAGGATAGGAAAACACATGTTATTTCTTGGATGTGGATCCTAGCCTGTAATATATGCATGCACATGTGTAATTACATGTGTGGAGGTACGGTACAACATTTAGCAAGGAGAACATGAAAGGCTAATTTTAAAGGGACAAAATGCTCCCCGATGAGTTCACATGCATGCTGTACTCTGTGTGGGTCCTCTGCATGCTCGCTCAACATGTAACATGGTTTTGATGTAAAACAGGTCCTTAGCCACAGGCGCTGCTACCTCTCTGGGAGTCCCAAATGTGAAGAGATAGTTTTCATCGTTTAAAGGTCCCTGTGCATTGCAGTTCTTGTGAGTTCTACCAACATAGGGTGCATTACTATTTAAACAAGAATTCCAGCTATAAAAGTTATAGAGAGTGAAGGCTGGCAGAAGGGCGCTTAAATCACTATAACTGGGGATTTTTGAGAACTCCTGGGAGAGCTGCCTTGCTGACCCTGATCTCAGAGATGAACACATCAGAAATTACCAACACTGAGAAGCTAGCAGAGTTTGGTTTGGTTTTCATTTTACGTTATAATTCTAAAAAGTGTTATTGTTAGCAGATTAATGTACTTTGCTTTAAAATTTAAAAGCTGAAATAAAACTATTTTGGACTTGGATCCTTTTGCCCCCAAACAAGTTGTACAAAAAGCTAATAAACACGCAAGAACAGGGAACAGCATCGCCAGTCTTCGTGGAACTGTAGATCAAAGTGGCAGCTGTTGTAAAACCTCAGCTAGCAGTCTCACCTCAGCGAAACTCTTAACTAGATCCGCCAAGGCAGCTGCACACTGGGACCTCTCCTGGGAAACTTGGGGTTCAGCTCCTGACACCATTTGGAGTTTGGCTAACATCCTGGCAGCTCAGACGTGGCTGTAGATCTCCTCATGAACACCAGGGGACAGCAATAAACAACAAACCAACAGAGAAAACTCCTCTGAGATGTGTTTGCAGACTTGTCTCCATCCCAGTTCCAACAGAGCTGGAGCTCCCTCAATAATCATTTCCTGTGTCTCTGAGACGCCCACTCCTCAGGGAGACCTAGGCCGTCCCCTCCCTCCTCTCGTCATCCATGAAGAAAAAAAGAGAGATCACAAGGCAATCAAGGAAGAGAGCAAAGGCATACAGGAAAGGTCAGAGGGCATGGGCAGACCTGAATCACATTCAGCCAGCACAGGAGGATGGGGGGTGGGGTGGGGTGTCTCCCTGGTGTCCTCCATAGGAAGCAGGAGCACACAGTCCTCTTTCTAGGACACACAGGATATACAACCCCTGACATAGCTTGTATCCTGGATCAGACACCTGACTGGTGACACCAGTGACAATGGGTCAGGACTCTCCACAGCTACACCTTTTCCAGTCCCTAGAGAGAGTTGCCACCCTCCCAGAGCTTTGGGAACACAGCACAGGCTGGGATGGATGGGTTTCTGTGTCACAAGGAAATACACTCTTGCCTATGGAAGTGCAGGGACTCCCTCTGGTGCTAACAGACAAGGCCAGGACACAGCAGAGGGCAGCCCTGGGGTGAGTGCTGGTCTCTCAGGACACAGGACAAGTATCAGTCTTGTGGCTAAAAGTGTGTTCTAGAACACCGAACCAGAAAGGAATAGAAGGATGGAAGGCAGGACTGGCACACAGACTCCACCCCCAGCCCATGTGACTCCAGGAGGTGCCCTCCTCTGGGAGGAGGCTCAGGCCTGGGAAGAAAAGCAGAGCAGACACCAGAGCAGCCAGGCTTGACAGCAGCCTGAGAGGCAAACCTCCTCTCAGAGGAAGAACCTAGCAGGCAGCAGAGACCATGGAGCTCACCTCAGCCCCTCTCCACAAAGGGCAGCTTCCCTGGAGGGGACTCCTGCTTGCAGGTGAGGCGAGCAGAGGATCTCAGAGACTGGGGGGGAGGGTCTTGGGGAGAGGGAAAGAGCCTAAGAAGAACCATCTGGCTTCTGCTTGAAGCCCGAGAGCAACAGGAAGCTCCCAGTGAATGTGAACTGGTGAGTGGGGAGGGGAAACTGAGTTGCTCCCCCTTGTAAGTTTATCAGCACTGGCCACTGTGTCCTGAAGACTGACATTCACAGCTCTGTCAGGGTGACTCTCCAGGTAAAACTCAACCTGGGGTCAGTAAGCAGCAACATGACATAGGACCCTGAGAAATCTGCAAACAAACCCCAGGCTCTGGGACAATGATTTGCTCACAGGCATCTGAGCCTGTTCCAGGCAGTGGGGTTTAAACCAAAATCAAAGTAGTCCTCCTCACAAAGTCCTAGTGCTACTGGGCAGGAAGACACAGCAGCAAGGACATCTAGAAGGTGGTCTCAGGGATGACAAGCATTTCAGAAGAAACAGAGCAGGGAAAGGGCAGCAAATGAAGGCACAGAGTCTGTAGAGGAGGCGGTCAGAGAAGACATGCCTACACTCCCCAAAGATTCTGAGTGTGAGCAGGGATCTGAGGGGTGAGGGGTGAGCGGTGTAGATTCCTGAGAATGTACTGTCACTCGGGGACAGATTCAGGGGTCCTGAGGAATGGAGGTGATGCTGCTGACCTCCCCCAACAGGACACACACACACACACACACCATGGGTGAGAGTTGAGCACACTCAGGTTTCAAATTTCTGCCAAATGCAAAGGCCCTGATATTGATACATTTTTCTCTCTCCCCTCTTAGCCTCACTTCTAACCTACTGGAACTCTCCTGCCACTGCCCAAGTCACCGTTGAAGCAGTCCCGCCCCTGGTTGCTGAAGGGGCAAACGTTCTTCTACAGGTCCACAAACTGCTAGAGGACCTCCAGGTCTTTTACTGGTACAAGGGAGACTCTGGGGATGAAAGTAATGAAATTGCACGATTCATAATATCTACAAATATGAATACAACAGGGCCTGCATACAGTGGCAGAGAGAGAATATACCGGAATGGATCCCTGCTCTTGCAGAATGTCACTGAAAAAGATGCAGGAACCTACATGTTACGTATGATAAAGATAAACTATGACAGTCCAACAACATCTGTGCAGGTCCATGTACACCGTAAGTAATTCTCTGTAACCTCTGGGTGGTGGGTGGAGCTAATCCTACTTCACACATAGGATTGTCCGTCCTGGATGACGCTGTGTCATGGTCCCCACATTGTGGTTCAAGCATTTAGTAAAGGACACAGAGTGGAGAAAACAGCAATAAATCAGGATGTCTCAGTGGATTCTGCAGAGAAGAGGGGGTGAGGTTTCTGAGCCCAGGCATGACAGACTGCCCAGGGTCTTAGCTGCTCATCATGAACATGGCCTTGAGAAAACCCTTCAGGACTGACGTAGGATCTGGCTTAGGAAACCATCAGATTCTCACAGAAAGATGAGCGTCTGAAGCTTTGCCCCAGACCTCTGTCCAGACTGGACCAGGAATCCAGGGAAGCTTGTAGACTGGGCTGGAATTTGACCTCCCTTTGGAGATGACAGGGGACAATGATTGATTGTAGGCTGGTGGCCTGCTGACTGTTAGCCATGTCTGAGGTAGGTCACCCAAGCATCTCCTCCTGAGACTCAGTGTGCTCAGCATAGGTGGGGAGGTGTGACAGGCAGTCAGCAGCTGTTCTGATGGTCTTCTGAGACCTCACAGGAAGGTCAGGAGCCCTAAAGAGACAGGAGGAAATGTGTATAAAAAGCAGCTCCTTGGCCTCCTGGGGTCTAATCCAGGGATTATTTCCTGCATACATATGGGAACAGATACCGCTTGGTCAAAGTTCAGGCCACTGTTCACATTTAAGGTTAACTTGCAGGCATAACAATGGTCATTTACCATCTGTCTTATTATAGAGAATCTGAGATAGGAAACACAGTCACTGAATCAGGGTCACACAGGCCATGGGTGGCACAAGCTACCTGTCCACCACCACACCTCCTGTCTCCCACCATGGGATCATCCAGGTCATTTTGTAGACTCAGGATTCTTTTAGGGTTCCCTGATTCATGTCAATCAACATCAAACACCTGACAAGGATGACCCACCTGTGGCCCCTCCCTACCTGAATGCCAGCCAGATCCTGACTGTGTGAGATCTCTGACAGGCTGTCAGGTTTCTCAGGGAAGCTCAATGGGAAGACTAATCATGACCTATGTGTAGGACAGCCATGAACAGCAAAGGCTTGTAGGGCTCTGGTCTACACTGAGCAGAGGAGGTCAGTGCAGCTGGAGGGACTCACATTGTGTCTCAAGGCACACAATGGTCAGTGAGGACCAGGAGATAAAATGAGGTCTCTGATTCCAAGGCTTGAGTCTGTCCATCCCCAAACACTGCAGCTCAATTCACTCATGAGAAAGCCCTGGCTTCTCCCATACACAGCTAAGGAGGCCCCATGAGCACTGAGCACTCAGCTACTCCAGCTGCCTGTAATTTGCTTCCTGCCTGATTCTATAAGGATTTGGGTAGGTGGGGAGATAAGAGGCTATCTCTGGTTGGGAGAGGCCCTTGCAAGAATCACATGTACCAGACAGGGCAATCTTCTCTCTATTGCTTGCACAGAACTGCTACCCAAGCCCAACATCATAAGCAACAATTCCAATCCCATGGAAGGTGAGGACTCTGTAGCTTTAATGTGTGAGCCTAAGACTCAGAATACAACCTACCTGTGGAGGATAAATGGCCAAAGCCTCTCAGAAGATGGCAAGAGGGAGCTGTCTGACGACAACAGAACTCTCACTTTACTCACTGTTGTGAGGAATGACACAGGACCCTATGTGTGTGAAACACGGAATCCAGTGAGCACCTCCCGAAGTGACCCATTCACTTTGAACATCACCTGTGAGTATTGTCTGTTTCATCCTGGTTACAACCGCCTAAATAGAGTATTAGGGCTAAGATACTCAGTTCCCTTGGGTTCATGACACACACCCACCACACACATACCTATGCTAGCCAGGACATCCTGGCCTAGCCCAAGCATGTGGAGACAGGCCCAGCACTGAGGTAGAATGGGATGGAGGGATTTCTTCTGCCTAGAGAGGCTGGGGGTGATGGAGACAGGGGACATCTCAGACTCAGGCTCAGTGCACACGTCAGTGTACAGTGGGGCTGTTTGTGTGCTGTGCTCGGGATGGGTCAGGGCTTGTGCATGCTGCATGAATAATCTTCTACTAACCTGCACACAGCTCTGGGTGTTAGCTGTTCATCTAATATTATAGCACAGCTCAGAGAGATACCATGGCCTTCTGCAGACCAGGATTTCCCCTTCCCTCTGCTGACATCACATGTGGCTTTCTTCTGTTTGCTCCAGATGGTCCAGATGACCCCATCATATCCCCCTCAAATACTCATTTCCAATCAAGGACAAACCTCAGCCTCTCCTGTCACGCAGCCTCTAACCCACCTGCACAGTACTCTTGGTCTGTCAATGGAGTGCTCCAGGCATCCTCCCAAGAGCTCTTTATCCCCAACATCACTACTAATAATAGTGGATCCTATACCTGCCTCGTCTATAATTCTGTCACTGGCCTCAATAGGACCACAGTCAAGATCATTACAGTCCTTGGTAAGTGAATCTCTGAAATATCAGCACCATGTTTGGAGTGGAGACTTTTGGCTTTCTGGGAAGATGCAGGAGGATTTAGTTTCCATCCCCTGTCTATGGAAAGAAGCAAAACTCAATCCTCCCCAAGTGCCCTGCTCCATCCCTATGTCTAATGGTCTCCTGCTATCTGACCTCTCCTAGCTTATAGGGCTAGAGCTTTGAATGTGAGAAGGGGGTTCTCCTGGCCATGGAAAGCCTCAGGTTGTGTGAGGGACTTCCCAGGGAAGGCACAGCCTTAAAGTGAAGAAACCTGTCACTAACACAAGCCTTCCTATCCCCTCCATGTTCTTCTTATGGTCTCTGTGACCTAGAAGGACACCAGGGCTTTCAACTGTGCTCACATTCTTTTCCTCCAAATGAGAGGAGAAAACTCTGCACATTTGGGGACCAGCAGTTCAGAGCTCTGCTCCTGTCCCATGGGTGTCTGGTTCAGCTCTGACTCCATGGGAAGATGGAGAAGGTGCCTGGGAGGCTGGCTCTGAGTCAGGGTGAACCATGTCACTGAATATTTGATGATGTTCCTTCCCTTACTCTTCTCAAGGTTTAAAGATGCAAAAGTTGACGGAGTGAGGTCACGCACGCCTTTAAAGCCAGCACTAAGGAGGGAGAGGCAGGGAGATAGTGTGAGTTCAAGGCCAGCCTGGTCTACATAGCAAGTTCCAGGTCAGCCAAAGATACAAGTGAGACCCTGCCTTTAAAAAAAAAAAGCAAAATAAAATGTCAGTGACGTTCCTCGAGAGTCCTTGAGTTCAGGAATGGGAAGTGGAGGAGAACTACAGGTTAGCTGGCTCTGAACTGTGTCGGCTCTGAAGGGCTATGTGAGCACATGGGTAATGGCTGAGAACAGGGGAGGACCCTGACTTGGAGAGCAGGGACTCCTCTGTCGAGTCTCCATGTAGCGGGGTGCACAAGGAAAGTGCACAGAGATGTCTGTAGTAAGATGTAAGGATGGTGGACCTCTCGAGTGGTAGCACTCAGGAGGCTGAGGCAGGTGGTACCCTTTGAGTTTAAGGCCAGCGTGTTCTATATGGCAAGATACATTGAGACCTGTCCTCAAAAAAATAAAAAAAATCAGTATCAAGGGTTAAAGTGGCAAGCTGTTATCAACACTGTGGCCATTTACCACTTCTCCGTGTGTTTAATACATATCCATAGTGCAGAAAAGAAAATCTTTCTTCAAGGTGAAATTATTTAGTTTTGGATTTCTCCCAGTCCTGAGGTCTAGGCTTTAACACCTTTAAGATTAGCTGGGCCATCTGAACCCCATGACAAAATATTTAATGAAAAAGAAACAGAAGACTATTTTATAATGGAGGAACCTGACTGTTCACACTCACATAAAGTGTGAGACAAGAATTTGCACCAAAAAAAATCAATGGGAAAAATACCCCCCACCAAATGAGATTTCTGGACAAGAGGTTCTGAGTGTGGAATCTACACACATACTCTGATTCGGGGGTCACTGCATGATCTGGGTAGGAGGAAGATTCAGCTCTCTCCTTACAGACCTTATCTTGAACACACACATGCAGTCTCTCAGAGGCCATCATTCTGTGTCCCTGGCTGAGGTCTCTGAGGGTGAAGGACTCTCAGCTGGTCCCCTCCACTCTTTATCCACAGAGCCAGTGACTCTGCCTGTCATCCAAGTCACCAATACCACAGTGAAAGAACTGGACCCCGTGATGCTGACCTGCATCTCAAATGACACTGGGGTCTCCATCCGCTGGCTCTTCAATGGCCAGAATCTGGGGCTCACAGACAGAATGAAGCTGTCCCAGGACAACAGAACACTCAGCATAGACCCTGTCAGGAGAGAGGATTCTGGGGAGTATCTGTGTGAGGTCTCCAATCCAGTCAGTTCCAAGAAGAGTGACCCCATCCAGCTGGACATAATACGTGAGTGACGTCTCTTCCCGTATTACTCCATAGTGTTGGGGTGGGGCAATTTCTTAATCAACAAAATGAGCGAAAGCCACAAGGAGCAAAACATGGCTCAAGATACAAATCCAGCCAGTTTGGCGATGGATGCATGTTCATCTCATGATAAAACACCAAGCCAGCTGAGCATGGTACCCCATGCCCTTAACCCAGTGCAGCAGAGGCAGACACAGCTGGATCAGTACAAGGTCCCAACTACCTTGATCACTGTCATGAGCTCCAGGTTAGCCAGGGCTACATAATGAACCCTGTCTATGAGAGAGAGAGAGAGAGAGAGAGAGAGAGAGAGAGAGAGAGAGAGAGAGAGGCTGAAGCAGGAGGAATAGGAGTTCAAGGCCAGCCCAGGTTACATTGTGATACCCTGCCAATAACAACAATAGATGTCAATATAGCAAATAGAAACACAAAGTGATGCAGAGTTTAGGGTCTGAGACAAACACACAGGCAACTCTCAGAATCTAGTCAAATATTCATGCTACACCTTCCCAAACATTCAAATCTTCTTTAGATTATCTCCATCCCTAGCATGAACGGTGCATAGGCACCACTGTTATTGTGTTAAATAAGGGAGAAAACAGGAGGAAACAATACATTTTTCACTGTAAACATTTTTTCCAAGCAGACTGTCTCCAAGGTTTGTTTGACCCATAAATATAAAGCCCACACATAGAAAGGAGCTGTATTGAGTTTCTTACTGCATTTGCTTATTTGTTCACTTTCTGTGCGTGTTCCATGCCCATGTGTGGAGGTCAGAGGACCATTTGTGGGAGCCAGTTCTCTGGGACTGGGAACTGAACTCAGGTGGGTGAGCAACCCCTTAATCTGCTAAGTCATTTGCATGGCCCAAATTTGTTTGTACATTTATTTACCTGTGGCAGCTGGGGGTAGGTACTGGGCGGCAGTATGGCAGGCGCTCTTACTAAATGAGCCATCTTGTTGGCCCATATAATGAGCCACGCTGACATTTGCAACATGACCTCCTTGCACAAGTCTCTTTTTCTGATATTTTTGGTGGTGTGTAGGTGTGTGTACACACGCGCACGTGCATGCGTGTATTATGGCACTGGAGAGATGGCTCAACAGTTAAGAGCACTAGGTGCTCTTCCAATGGACAAGGAGTTCAATTCCCAGCATCCACTAGACAGCTGATTACTGAAAGGAATTCAGCACCTTCCTCTGTTCTCAGGGACCAAGCATGCATGAGGTGCAGAGACATACAAGCAGGCAAAACACCCATTATATGTATGGGTGTTTATATGTAAATTTACATGTAATTGTTAACTTTTAAAATTTGTAATTTTAGGCATTGTGAAATGTACAGTTCAGTGGCATAAGGTGTATTTATATTATTGTGTAAACACCATCATTGTCCATTTCAAAAACTTCTTGTGAATCTATTCTACCCCCTATAATCCTGGATATAGAATTACTAAGTTGAGCATAAGTTTTTATCTTTTGGGGAGGCACAATGCCATGTCTCATGGTTATATTTTACCCTCACATTCAGCAATGCCCTTGAGCACTAATTTCTTTATGTAAGGTCATACTTTACTGTGGTTTTGATTTCCCTTTTGCCAGTGACTGAGAAGGAAGTGGAGCATCTTCCCATGTGCTTATTGGCCATGCATACACTTTCTATTCAAGTCCATCCCTTCCTATTCACGTCCTCCTGTATTTCAGTTGGGTTGTTTGGTTTGTGTTTATCTCTTTGTTTGTTTTGTTTGCTATGTTGGAGTTTCTCATACACTCTGAACATTAATCTCTTGCCAGATGATTTATTTCCAAGTATTTTTTCTGCCATTCTAGAAGTAGACTTGCACTTTCCTGGTAAAGTTCTTTGTTTAGTGTTACTAATGGTTTTCAAATTGCTAACACAATTAAATACATTTAGGAAAAAGAATATCTAGATGCAATTTGGAATGGTTAAATCAAGTTAATTAACAAATCTGTTACTTCCATTATCTTTTTATGCTAAGACATGTGAAGCTTATCATTTATTTCTTTGCAATCTGTTATAGAGGGCTACAATCCACCTGTGTCACACCTCTCCAGTCTTAACCCCCTGGTCTATCTGAAACCCTGTGCCCCTTGGCCAGCAACTCCACCTTCCCCTCTGCTGCCGCTCAGTCTCTGGTAACCATCATTCTTCTCCCTACTTCCCCAGGGCCTCTGGGACTCTCATGAGTGAGAGCATGTGGTATTGTCTTTCTGTGCATGGTTTTCTCACTCAGCATCATGTCCTCTGGGTTCTTTTGCATAGTCATATTGACAGAACCACATTATTTTAAAAGGTTTAACATCACTGCACTGCAAATAGATATCACATTTTCTTTACTTATTCATCCATGGATATACATTTAGTGCCCTTGATTATGGGGGGAGGGGGAAATGCCACAGAGACCTGCTGGGTCACATGACTGATAACATCCCCCGATGCACAAACATTTTCAATTTTACTAAAATCCAAGTATCTATTTTTGTTGTTGCCTATGCATCTGGCATCATAACGAAGAAACCATGCCAAACCTAACTTCAAGATGCTTTCACCCTGTCCCTTGATCCATTTTAGGTCTTTAATCCATTTAGAGTTGATTTTTATATGATGTTAGGTGAAGGCTTAACTTCATTCTTTTTGCCCGGACATCCCATTTTCCCAACATCCCTTGTTCCAAAGATCATCCTTCCATCATTGAACAATCGTAGCAGCCTGATCAAAACTCATCTGGTCACAGAGGTGTACTTGGACATGGAGAATGCCTCCTAAGTTCTGTAACTCAATAGGACAACTCTGTGTTGCACTGATTAATTCAAGAGCCAGGAGAGATGAATGTTCTTAACAAACATTAAAAGTGACAGATAAAGTGATGGGTATGCCAACTGCTCGTGTCTGACAACACACTATAGTACAGATGCAAGAACTGTGCCCATAAACATTTATTATATTAACTAATCTTTAATGTAATCACTGGACTGTGTACATGAGCAATTCTGGGCTTTCCGATTCTACTTCACTGACCTATATGACTGCCTGCCTTTATGTCAGTAGTATACTATTTTGATTACTACAGCTTTATACTGAAATTCTGAAATCATGAAGGATGTCCACAATCTTATTCTTTTTCAAGATACTTTTAAGGCTGGGTGCGGTGGCACTCACCTCTAACCTCAGCTCTTGGAAGCAAAAACAGGAGGCTCTCCGAGAGTTTGAGACCAGCATGGTCTCAAGTGAGTTCCAGGACAGCTAGAATGGACTTTTCTATTTCTGTACAAAATGTCACTGGGGTTTTGATCTGGTGTGCATAGAACTGAAAGACTACTATCAGTAATATTGTCATCCGTTTAAAAAAAAAAAAAAAAGTTTTTCAGACAAGCTTGCTCATGTGTGTGACTCCAGCTACTCAAGAAACTGAGGCAGGGGTACCAAAATCCTAAGAGTGCCTGATGCAGCCAATTCAAGGCCAGCCTTGTTAATTTAGTGACATCCTCTTTCAAAATCAAAATTAAAAGGCAGAGCTTGGGATATAGATGGATGGTAGAGCTTCATTTACCATGGGTTCAATCCCCTGTACTGCACAACAGCAATCCTGAGATTATCTTCCAATAGCTCCCATTTCTTGTCTCCTTTCATCGTCTCTATTTGGTAGTTTTCTGGGTGTAAGTGTTTTAATTCTTTGGTGGCGTTATTTCTAAGTATTTTATTCTTTTTGGTGCTCTCATAAATAAAACACTTTCTTGGTTTCCTTTCCATTTGTTCACTGATAAATTTAGCTGAGACTATTGCTCAGTGGCTGAACACTTGCCTAGCATGTTTGAGACCCTAGGTTCAAGCTCCACTACTACCAGGAAAAAATGGAAATCTAATTGTCCACGGTCAATATTAGTATGCAGAAATACAGTTTATTTGGTCATGTTCATTTTGTGAGCTGACAATTTTGTTAGTTTTGCTCATTGAGTTCTGAGAATTTTCTGTAGAATGTTAAGGATTTTCTTCAGATAAGTTCATGTCATCTACAGACATACATTTTTTACCACCTTACAGTCAGGCACCTTTTATTTCATTGTCCAGCCTAATGGCTCTGTGTAGCACTCCTAAAAGTCTCTTGAACAGGGGTGGTCACAGCAGCATCCTGAGTTCCCTGATCCCACAGGGAATGCTCTCAGTGTCCCCATGCAATATGATGTTGGCTGTGGGTTTCCATGTGTGGCCTTTGTTACACTAAGTGGACTTCTATCCAGTTTCAGTGTTTTTATCACTAAAGTCTGTGAAATTCTATCAATTTTTACTCAGTCTTATTGGTTATGCATCTATTTGATTTTATGTTTCTTTCACAGTTCCATCTCTAAAGAATCCAGGTTTCTAGAAATTTGTCAGGTGCATCTAGGACCCCCAACAGTTAGAATATAACCATCGAGTGCTCTTGAAATTCTTAATATTCCTGAGACTTGATGGTAAGGTCTCGAATTTTAGTAATATTTATCTCCTTTTTTTTAAAGGCTGCCAAACCTTAACCATGTTTGAAGAGCCACCTTTTGGTGAATCAGCTTTCTCTATTGTTTCTCCCATCTCTGTTTTATTTACCCTCCTTCTCGTCCATATTTCCCCCCTTCCACTAGCCTGGGGAAGCTCTTAGGGAGACAAGAGTCTCAGTATATAACCCAGACTCACCTCAAACTCGATACTCCTGCCTCAGCCTCCAATATTAGGGTTCCAGATCACATCACATCCTTCACCGGCCTCAAAGTAGTTTTTAAAGACTTGATATAATACTCAAGTGGCTTTTTGGCAAAATACCACACACAGAGGAAGTAAAATAAATGTTTGTTCTAATTATTCCTACCACTAGTGTTAGCCTTGAAGTCAGGTAGCCAGGTCTATCTCTAATTAACCATACAGATTTAAGTCCTTTTTTTAAAACCACTTTAAGCCTCCGTTTTTTTATCCTTTAAGTGGAAATAATTTCTGTGACAGATTCATCATATAGAGGAAACCTCATACAAACACAGAGCCAGCCACATCATAACTACCATATCACAATGGCCAACATTTGCATTAATAATTTTGAGCAGACTGGTGAGGTTTGAGCCTCAAACGGTTCCAGCAATGAGTAAAGAGGTGTGAAAGGTATTATTACATAAGAGGTGTGGGGAGACACATGTTATCCAAAAAGTGAAACCACTATACTATGGCTACTAAATAAAAATGGGAGAGAGAAAAAAGGAGGGGCTTCTGATGCGAACTTTCAGACTTGGCTAGCTACTCGCTTTCATCCTCCAGGATGTGGCCTTGATGGGCTTAGACAGGCAAGGAGTACACTTGGGAAGGTGAGCCTGAGATAGCCCTCATGTGAAGGTGAGCCTGAGATAGCCCTCAGGCCACACGCAGATATGATCCCTGTGGAGGTGGAGGAGGAGGCACGTCTTCCATCACAGTGCCATTCCAACAGTTTCTGCAAGGTTGAGGCTGAGTTCCCCACAGTCACCAAGCAGAGGGGAACAGGGTCCTCCAGGGTCTGCCTTGCTTTCCTACCCCCACTGCAGAAACCATGGGTTCTGTGCAGAGGAGCTGGTACGTGGGGAGTCACTAGCCTGCGTCTTCAGTCACTTAGATCATGGCCACAAGGGACGGCTTATCCGTGGCTGCCACACTGAGACTCAGAAAAAGATGCAGCCATAAAAATGCTGCATCTCACATTCCCACAGCTTCACGGTTGCCTGCGTGCGATTGGTGGAATTGGGATGGGACAGGAGAGGGAGAGTCAACTTAGAAGCAGAATGAGGGTGGAGAGACCCTTGCTAAGAGCCCCACACTTCAACTCGTCCCATCAGCCTCCCCACAGAAAATGCGCTCCCCAGAAGGGCGAACACACATCATTGCACACTAAGAATCCCCAGGACACGCCACTGGAAAACACTTTCACTTCATTCCGTCTTGTCTTTTCTTTCCCTGGCAGCTGACCCAACACTAGGAAGTTCTGGCCTCTCTGCGGGTGCCATCGCCGGCATCGTGGTTGGATCTGTGGCTGGGGTGACGCTGATAGCAGCCCTGGCGTATTTCCTTTATTTCAGGAAGACTGGCCGGTAGGAAGGTCTTCGTCTTTTGTGTTCTCCGAGCCTTAGTGTCATGCTTGGGATTGGGCAAGGCATTCTCTCCCTCTGCCTCTGAGCTGAACCTCTCCCGCCCTCTCCCCTCACCCTCTGCTTCTCAGCACTGACCCTGTGGGTTCAGCCTCCCTGTCTTCAGGATCCCTGTACTCTTGTCTCCTGGAGTCCATTACCACCTGGATGGAGAACAGACTCAATTATCTCTCCATTCTCCAGTCAGGGAGCCAAGGTCCAAGATGAAAGAGAAGTGAGGGACTGGGGGAACAGCCAGGGGATGCAGGTGGCATGTCCTGCTGACTCAGCAGCATGCAGGATGCGGGGGGGGGCGGGGGGGGAGAAGACACCCCAGGATGAAGCAGCAAAAGAATTAAAGTTCTCTTGGTCGAGGAAATGAGTAGAAAGAAGCTGGGTGGTAGTGGCACACACTTTTAATCCCAGCGCTCAGGAGACAGAGGCAGGTGAATCTCTGTGAGTTCGAGGCCAGCCTGGTCCATAGAGTGAGCTCCAGAACAGCCAGAGCTACATGGAGAAACCCTGTCTTGAAAAACAAAAACAAAAAACCAACAGACCCCCCCCCAAAAAAAGAGAGAAAAAGAAAATGAGTATATATATTAAAAAAACAAAACAAAACAAAAACCAGAACCACCTGTGTAAAACTAAACAGGGCAGGTGTTAAGGACAGGCGCAACAGCATCAAAGATAAGAAGCTACAGCACCAGGCCACAGCTCAGGAGTAAAGCATCGGCCCTGGATGTGGTCCCAGAACCAGGAAACAAAGAGCAAATTCAGAGTCCAGCAAAGACAAAGGACAAACTATAGCATGATCAAACAGATTAAGAAATGAGGCCCCAGGAGGGAAGGCAGTGTAAGCCGGGTGTAAGGGAACATCAGTGACAGCAAGGGACCCAGAAATGAGCTGCCCACAGCGTCCTCCCAACTCCAGGAGTGAAGGCCCTGTGTGTGGGAACAGTGGTCACAGTGTCTGATATTTATTTAGGGGAACTGACCAGCGCGATCTCACAGAGCATAAACCCTCAGCCTCCAACCACAGTAAGTAAAGCCACTCACAGAATGAGAGCCTGTATTCTACCACATAGCCTGCCCTGTCAGGGGACCCTGGGCTCATAGACCACACCTTCCTTTCTGAGTTTTTACAGAAGGATCTCCACTTCCCAGCACTAAGGATCCCATAAATCACACCCTTCCTAGCTACAGAGGAGCTGCCTGAGAGAGCCCTGGAGAAGCTCACTCCACCTAGGCTAGGCAGGCCTGAACAAGTCATGTTTCCAGGAATCACCCTGATTCCTTCCTTCCTGCCTGGATTGTAGATGTGGACATCTCCCTTGAGGAGACTTTCTTTGTCTTATGGAATGTCTGGGTGCTGTGGCCTCTATTTCTTCCTTGCCACTGGGGCATGCTGCTGAGAATCAACTCTGGGAATGGTGTGACCTGGGAAACAGGTGGCTCTATCCTGCTCCTTCTCTGGTACTAACACAGTGGGTCTGAGGGAAGCTAATTCCTGAGCTGATTAGGGCCACCTCCCCCATGCAACCCCTGCCAGAAGTCACGTCTATGCACTGACAACTCTCTCTTGCTCCCCTAGATCTGGGCCCCTCTGACAACTCTTCTCATAAGGTAAGCAAGGCCACTTTCGCTGGCGTCTGCTCATGAAATGTCTCTGAAGAAAGCTGGGTGTCCGTATTGTTTTGATTTGTGTGCTTGTTTGCTGAAGGAGGGTCTCACCGTGCAGCCTTGGCTACCCTTGAACTGTGTAACCTAGGCTGGCCTTGAACTTGTGGCCCTCCTCCTGCCTTAGTCTCTTGTGCGCTAGGATAACAAATCTGTGCCACCACACCAGGCTGAGAATGAGGTGTTCTTGGAGACATTAACTGTGAGATTCAGTTTGGGCCTGCATTCCTCGGTGCTTCAGCAAAGAAAGATCGGGTAATGAGTCTAATACAAGAGAGTGTTTGGAATAATCCCCACCTTGTGTTTAATTCCTGGCTCTGATTCTTGAGCTCTTTGGTCCTCAGTCTATGGAATGGGCAGCCTGACTAGCTGGAAAGGGACAGAAGGATTAAAGAAGTTAACATGAGCACAGCACAGCCCACACAAAGACAACAGCCCTCCACTCTCAACCTGCTCTGACCATAAAAGCTCCATTCTAATGGGTCTGGGACCCTGTCCCTTCCTTTGCCAAAGTTCTGACATTGCAGCCTTTCAACAGGTTGAGCACACTTGTCAGCAGCAGGCGAATTAAGTTAGTTCACACCTGCACCCCCCACACACACTTTGCTGTAACTTCCCTACAAAGAGGGTGGCAGTCAGGACGGTGCATATCCTCGCCCACATCTGGCTTTTGTTCATCACTGCTCGGTGGCGCATCTGGATGTCTCTGTTGATTCAGGCTCTGTTCCCATTGCTGTCTCACACGGTTCCACGGTACCAACCATGTCCTCTAGTGCACACATCAGGATGTCAGACAGTCAGTGACAGGAGCCCTCCCCCATGGCTCACCGTGCACAGAGGCCACAGCAGTGGTGTTAGGTCACCAGCGAGGTGAGGTTCTGACCTGTGCGACTGGTGTCACTGATCAACACTCATACTTTCAGGGGGATGAAGTCACATATTCCATTCTGGACTTCAATGCGCAGCAACCCAAACCACCGACTTCAGCCTCTCCATCTCCAAGAGCCACAGAAGCAGTTTATTCAGAAGTAAAAAAGAAGTGATCACAGCCCATCCTGCTGGCTGCACCAACGATGCATTTGCAGACTCTTTCCCTCACTAGATCTCTGTACCCTGGAGATGAGGGGACACAGACGCACACACACACACGCACACACACACATGCACACACACACACACATGCACACACACGCACACACATGCACACACACAGACACACACACACATGCACACACACACGCACACACACGCACAAACATACACACATGCACACACACATGCACACACACACATACACACATGCACATACACACACAACACAACACACATGCACACACACACACACATACACACATGCACACACATATACACATACACACACGCACACACACATGCACACACACACACACACAAACACACGCACACACACAAACACACATACACAGATACGCACGCACGTGTGTTAAGGCAGCTCCAGGCTGCAGCCTCTCCTTCAGTGTCGACAGAAGGAAAAGAAGTGTGTTCTGGAGCCTTCAGGAAACCCAGGCTTTCTTGGAATTGACACTTGGCTGACAGAGAGGCATCAAAACTGTCCTCCACTTTCCTAACCATGGCTTGTTTTAAATTGACCTATTTGGAGGGTAATCATCCCTCCCCAACTCCAAGTCCTGCCCTATCATAGTCTGACTTGAATTCCCCTAACTTTGGAAGTCACATACGTGCTTATGCCAAAAAAAAAAAAAAAAACAAAGGGGAAGCAGGAAACGGCCACTCCTGCTCGATGTGAAGCAGGAAGATCCAGCCTGCACCCAACGGTTCCCTGGGAAATGGCCACACCTGACAACTGTCACACCTGCCCAGTGGAGCCATCCGGGTCTCTGTACGTTGTGGCTTTACACCTGAGCCCTTCTCTGAGCCTTTATCCAGAAAACTCACTCAAAGAAGCTAGAAAAGCATCTTGGCAGCATCTACAGGCTCTGCTAAAGCAAAGCGCAGACGCAAAGACAGCGCCTCTAAAGTCGACCGACCGGGAAGGTGTCCAGGAGAGCGGGGCTGGGGGCTTTGAGCTGACAGTCACCTGGAATTGGAACTGGAACTGTGTTAAACAGAAGCCGTGTGTGAAGACACTGGAGTGTTCCTCTGTAAGAGTCCACTGTCTGAATGTTTGTAGCTGCTGCCTTGTCCCCCTGTGTGAGCTGATGGGACTGGTCTGCTTTCGGGGGAAGAACCCACTAAGCCTCTGGCTCCCTTGGCCAGGACTGAAAGGTCTCTCAAGCCCTTTTGATCAAGGGTCCCAAACCAACATAAGTAAATGAATAACAAGGCTGTCACTTGAAGAACCACTGCCAAGTGTCAGGCTAAGCCTCCTCTCCTGAATTCGCCAGAGAAGCCTGACTTCCTTTTTCCATGTTTTCAACTTCTCTGTCAGATACTGGCCAGAGCCTAGACAATCTTTCTTTGACACTTTGGGCATCCTCACCCCCCCAAGCTCTCCCGCCCCTCCCCCTCCCCATCCCCCACCCTCTACCCCACCCCACCCCCATGCAGGCTGCCAGCTGACCTCCTGCCTGACTCAAAGGCCATTCCTCCTCTACTCTGACCAGGGTTCCAGCTTGTCTGTCTTACTGTTTTTCTTTTCAACTCTAACAAAACTGTCCTCAGTGTCAAAACAACAACAACAGGCTCTCCTCGTTCCAATCAGGAAGAGACCTAACTCAGTTTCTGGAGATCTGGGAGCAGCCTCCAAGTGCCCTTCTGTGCATCGTTTCCCTGTCTTTGTCTTTTCTTCTTGACTTTTTTTAGACAGAGATTTAGCATATACCCTGCACAGGCTTTGAGAGCTCACTGAAATGCCTTCTACAGCCTCCCAACTGCTGACAACAGCCTGTGCAGCCCTGTCTGCCCTGCACTCAGGAAACCTTGGACTCTGCTGGGTTTGGCCCGCATGAAGTGTTCCCTTAAAGGGCACAGCCACTCAGGCACAAGGCATGGTTTACAGCCTAGAGCACTCTGCGCTGGTGCTCCACTGGGAATGTGGGCTATTAGCAGGGTGCTCTACCCAGCCGCAGGCTTTCTGCAGCCTCAGGAACCTAACCTTTCCCACCTGGGATGAGTCCCAGCAACAGGGGGAGGGAAGGGAACCATGGTCTCAGGGACCTTCTGTTAAGAGGTACATCCACTCTGTGATCATTCAGCAAAGGTTTTTTACCAGATATTAAGTGTTTGTGTTCATGCCATGCCTAACAGGCCTTCTAAGATAATTAGTTTTGAATTCTCCTACTCAGGAATTTCTTTCAAGAATTTCCAGTCCAAACATAACCTGTGTATATTTTCCTTTAGCCGTGCTATTCTGGGTTATTTAATTTTGCCTGGCTAAAGCCACATCTGAGTTATTTGTAAATTTCCCCTAGGTTCATAATAAAAAAAATTGTCATATATCACTGATACGACTTTGTGGGGTTTTCTGTTTATTTCTGGTGTTGCCATGCTTAGGATGGAAGCCAGGGTCATGCATGAGATAGGCAAATTCTCTTCCACTGAGATACATCCCCACCTGATACTGCTTCAGACAATGTCTTCCTTACAGGTAGAAGATGGCAACCACTGGATGGGGTGGGGGAGGGGCGCCAGATGAGCATACTGCTTATAGTATACAGTAGTTCTCTGATGTAGTCTTCTAGGAATTAGCTAAATGCATTGCACATTTATTAAAAAGGCTACATGAAAGCAACAAACCACGCCTAGACCGACCTGGAAAAGGCTGTGTATCATCTTACAGGGGTAAAAGGCCTCTCTGGTCCTCTCCTACCCAAGTGGCTCCAGCCTCTCCAAGGCAGTAATGCACCTTCCAACTCACAAAAATCTCCCCCACGTGCTCCCCCACACCAAACTCTCTCCGTCACCTCCTGTTACTAATTCCCTGCCTGTCCTCTTAAACCTCCGACCTGAATAAGATCTGTGCATCGATTCCATCTCATTCTCCTCACTTGCAAGCAATAGCAATGCATGCGTGGCCTGACCTTCCCCTATCCTATTTCCATACACAAGACCCTGGAAGTATAAATTCACTGTCACTTCTGGGATAGATTCAAGGGTCTGTCACCCTCACAGTTCAGCTTTACATCATCTACAACTACAGGCAACTCTTCCTTCTGGGTCGGTCATGTGGCACCCCAACACCAGTCAGGCCTCAGATGCTTTGTGTCCCTTATCCCACCATTCACTCAGCTCCAAAGGCCTCTGCAGATGGCTCCTACATGTAAATCTCATGCCCTACCTCTTCCTGGAACTTAGGGCACCCGCCTCCAAATAAATACTCATATAAACAAACTCATCACCCTCAGCACACTGATTTCTTTGTTGGAGATCGTGTGTGTGTGTGTGTGTGTGTGTGTGTGTGTGTGTGTGTGTGTGTGTGTGTGTGTTTGAAATAGAATCTCCCTATGTAGCTCAGACTGTCCTGGAACTCACTATATAGACCAGGCTGGCCTTGAACTCACAGAGATCTTCCTGTCTCTGCCTCCCAAGTTCTGGGATTAATGTCATAAACACCAGACCTGGTTCCCTAATGTATTTTAAAAATCTGTTTCATCCAGGCATATGTTGTATGTTGTATGTCAAGATGTTCTCCCTTCTCCAGCACTCCCAATTCTCAATTCTCATTAGACGTATCTCCCTACTCACACAAACCTTAGTCCCAATGCTATGGACACCAAGCAGCACGATTTCTCCATTACATTCGCTATGGTCCCCCTTCATATAAGCAACTTCACATAGCTCAAACATTAGAGCATCCAAGTGAGGACATCAGCTGCGAGAAGGACGAAGTGTGTGTGGTAGACAATGTTTTCCTGGTGACTAATTAATGTATTCATGAAAGGTATAGAAATTCTGTATCTTCCTAGATGAGGCCTTTCCTCTAGGGAACATAAATCCCTGAGGCAGAAGACACACACAAGCCCCCAGGCACATATGTGAGAGCACCTATGAAGGTTAACCTATGAGAATGTCTGCATTGTCTAGGTTACAGTAATTGACATAGGAAGATCAACTACTTCTGGGGGTGGGGGTCCATTCCCTATGCAGTGTGAGCATTTATGGTAGTCTTTCCACAGTTGCTCACACTGTTAGTTGGCAGCAGTCTTGTAGGTCTCTAGACCTTTCTTTAGGTTCTTTTCTCTTCAAAACAATAATGGCTCCCTCTTCCCTCTTTTATGTTTGCTCTCTCTCTCTTTCTCTCTCTCTCTCTCTCTCTCTCTTTCCTGTCTTCTATTCCTACCTTGACTCAATCTTCCTAGTCGCACGTGCTTTCCTCTCCTCCCCTTCTCTTTCTCCTAATTCTCTCTCCATTCACTGCCCCCCACTTCCCATGAGCTCTTGGGGACTTGTCCCTTCCCCCTTCTGTGAGGAACTTTATCTGACTCTCTTAGAACACACCTTGTATCCTAGTTCCTCTGGTGATGTGAATTATAGGCTGATGATCCTTTGCTCTATGTCTAAACTCCATATATGAGCGAGTACATACCATGTTCCTCTTTTTGTGACTGGGTTACCTCATTCAGGATGGTTTCTTCAAGTGCTATTCACTTGCCTGCAAATTTCAAGATTCCATTATTTTTTCTACAGAGTAGTATTCCATTGTGTAGATGTGCCACATCTTTTTTTATCCATTCTTCAGTTGAGGGACATCTAGGTTGATTCCAGGTTCTTGCTATTACAAATAATGCTGCTATGAACATAGTTGAGCACATGTCTTGGTTGCATGGATGTGGATCATTTGGGTATATGCTTACCAAAGGGATTGCCAGGTCCTGTGGTAAACTAATTCCCATTTTCCTAAGGAACCACCGTACTGATCTCCAAAATGGCTGTATGAGTTTGCAATCCCACCAGCAGTGGAGGAGTGTTCCCCTTTCTCCACATCCTCTCCAGCATAAGTTGTCATTGGTGTTTCAAATTTTAGCCATTCTGGCAGGAGTAAAATGGTATCTCAAAGTTGTTTTGATTTGCATTTCCCTGATAGTTGAGCACTTTCTTAAGTGTCTTTCAGCCTTTTTGAACTCCTCTATTGAGAATTCTTTCTTTAGTTCTGTAACCCATTTTTAATAGGGTTATTTGGTATTTTGTTGACTAGTTTCTTGAGTCCTT